TGATATAACTACAGTGTCTAGCCAAAGAGGCACTGGGGAATATGTGGGAGCTGCTGGCTGACGCGGTGGCTGGACGGGATAAATCGACTGCGTACCATTGTGAATCGACTATGTGGATTGGATATAGCCAATGATAGAGTCATGTTCGCGCCTGCCAAAGTTCGCCGTAGTGAACATCATACAATTATCCTCACCAAAAAGCCCTGGAAAATATAAAGACGAAACGCTCTACTATAGTGCCTTGATCTGGCTTTGTATACGGGTTCTTGCTTCCGGTGCTCTTCCTACCGCCTCCCTCCTGCTCTATTTGCCTCGCTGGCCATACTTTTACAACCCTGCACGTACTCGTATTCTACAGCAGGAGGACCGAGGAAGGATGTTACGATCCAATCAGAAACCTCGTTATGTGAGCTAGATAGATTGACCAATAGGAGGCAGCCCGAACTCAGGGTCCCAGAGTCCCGAAAATACGGGACTGTGGGACGGGTTCGAAGACCAATACATAAGAAGACCGCTTCCCGGTCTTCATTATTCTGGTCCTTCAGCAAGCAATAGCTTTTACAATCGATCAGTACCTTTTGGCTACTATTATCGTTGTTCTTTTTTCCCAGCGATATACTCCTGTGCTTGTAACAGTTCGTCACAAAGGAATCGAAATCTGGAAAAGGAATCGAAATCTGGAAAAGGAATCGAAATCTGGAACCGGGATCGGATGGCGGATGGTAGACGTCGTTCTACGAAGTTGTCAGCTTCCCCAAGACAGGGGGCGGCTGACTAGCTTAAGAACTACCAGAGTGGCTGCATTGTGGTAGAGGCCGGGTAAGGCTGAAGGCGTCCGCACGATCTGGGATCTGCCCTGTTGTTGTTGTTGTTGTTGTTATTTTTAACGTCTGCTTCCGCCTCCCGTAGGGCATGAGACGTGTCACATCGGTGAATCTAGCATACAAAATGGGGAGCAGTGCCCTAACTGTCCACCAAAACCATTAATCCGAGGGCAAACCGAGGCCTATTGCCAATGTAAATCATGTGTTGCCCATAGCGTAAACGCGGCCCAACACTTGTAATCGAATCGCCCAGTGGGCGAGGGTGGCGGTGGTGGCGTGGGTAGGACGGGCTTCCTAGTCCGCAGGCCAGGCTTTTTTTGGCCGACTGCGCCGTCGTGGAGGGCGGGGGCGGGACGCAAAGGATGTCCGGCAAAGGAATAACCGGTATTATAGCCAGCGATGGTGGATTGGGGGCCCCAGAGGGCGAAGGCGTAGACATTTTGGTGTTGTGGATGTTGGGATATCGACCGTGAAAACGGCGATTTAGGTTGTATTAGGGATTTTGCGGGCGCTAATCTCACAATGTGTGAGGGTTGCGGGATCCATATCGTCACACTACCCTCCCCCCCCGGGTTGAGGCTCAGCCCCAGAGCCGAAATGAAAAATGAAAAGAAAAGTTTTCGTCACAGACAAGAATCGAACACTTCCTCCAACGTCCTCCTACTTCTTTTCCTTACCACTGCTCTCCTTCTCAAACCAACTCGTGATCCTTCGGCTGTTTTGTCGTTGTCGCCATGGTCTGACTTGTCACCCGTCAACCATTGTGTTAGCCGTTTGGGAGGTCCTGGCATCGTAGGGTTCGCGTCGTGATATTCCTTCAAGAGCTCTGCTGAGTTGATGAAGTTGCTCGCTGGCTAGAACTCTGGGTCGGGGTCCCAACCTTTCCATTCCACCTGGTATTCCAACTTTCCTCTGGTGACCTTTGATGTAACCACGGTTGTCGGCACACTTCCTCAGACGGTCAGCATGATAAACGGTTGCTTCTCTCCATTCTTCAGGAACCTCCAGCTCATAAGAGTGTCCTCTCATGGCCTTGATCCTATAAGGGATACGTGTTTGTCTCCAATCGAGTTTGTCACTAGGGCGATCGTTATCAACCTCTTTTGATGATAAAGACACGGTCTCTAACACCGAAGTCTGGTTCTCTTTTGTGCTTGTTGGCCTGCGTGGTTTTGCTGCCGTTGGGCCTTGTTGATAGCGTAACGTGCTGTGGCATTAAACGTCTTCAACCGGTCAATCAGTTAGTGAGCCTCTTGTCGATTGATCTCCATCTTGGGCGGCTTCGGTTCCACGCGGTCCTCCCAATCCAGCACACCAAGCATGGGGAAGCCCATGATAACCTCCTTGGGGGATAGTCCGTCCAGACTATTATGGGGTAGGATTATTTGAACCGCGTCCAGTGCTGGGATAAACTCGGACCAGTCGTCCTGATTGTGGTTGATGTATGGTCTCAGCCGTTGGTCGATGTATTGGTGTAGATTCTCGACCTGACCCGCGGTCTGGGAATGGCCTGATGTAGCCAGCTTCCACTTGAGGTTTAACAGCGACACCGCTTCCTGCATCATTTGGGATACAAACTGTGGACCGCGGTCACTAATGACCTCATCTGGCAAACCGAAGACGCGGTAGGGTCCGCGGTAGTAGAGGACAGCCGCAGCTCTTGCGGTAACCGTGTCTTTACAAGGGATACTCCAGTTGGCCTTTGTGAATCGATCCATGATTACCATAATCATATTGTAACCGTGTTGATCTTCGGCCATCGACTTGAAATCGATTACCAGTGATTTGAAAGCACAGCAGTCCTCTTTCAATGGGATCGAGTGCATCAAGCCGGGAGTCTTGTCTCTGGGAGCCTTGAATACCTTGCAAGTCCAGCAGTTATTGATATAACGATCCACGTCTGCCGCCATGCCTGCCCACCAGTATCGCTTGTAAACTATTTGTTTGGTCTTGTTCCAACCAGTGTGGGCCGACGTGACGGGGCAATGTGCCGCCTCGATGAGCTTGGTGCGCAAGTTCTCGTCTTCTGGGACCACCAGCTTGTAATCCTTTGTCAGTAGTCCGTCTTTAAACATAAAGAGGGAGTCGTCCGACTTCGTCTTTTCCCTGTAGATTGATAGTGAATTAGCTGAGCGGTTGGCTTGGAGAATCTGGTCCACCAGGTCCTGGCTGAGTTCCAGTTCTGTGATCTGTATTTCTTCCTCCCCGTCTGATTCAGCTGGTGAGTCTGCTGGTTTATCGCCAGCGAAGGTCAAGAATCCGTCTTCGGCGGGTTTGAGCATTCGCAAGGTAAACTGGTCTTCCTTCTTATCTTTGACAGTCTTCAAATCTTCCAGCTTGCGTGACAGCGCATCAGCTGCTACGTTT